TGGTTTTTAGTTTTCATCTCATTTCTTCTTAATCTTGTCATCATGTCCTTTTCTTAAGTCATTTTAGAAGTTATCCAAGTTGGAAAATCCTACCTTGCGGCATTTGTTCTCTATACATTCTGTTGTGATTTTTTACATGTTAATCGTTTGAGAAGTCCAACAATAGATTAAACAAATGAGAAAAAACAAAATTAAAACGTTATAACATTAAAAATGTCAGAACGTCCAATCATAACTATTAAATGTATAAAGTATAACATAAGGTTTAATTTTATTAAATTTATCATGTAATTATTATTAAATATTTTGAAAATTTTAATATCAGGATGTCTTTTTTTTTTTTAAACAAATAAACTTAACAAGTTAGCTTCCTTTGTTTAGTATAATTGTAGTTTTAAATTTTTGGTTTTAATTTTTATAAATTTTGTAATCATTAAAAATCAACACTAAAAATAAAAGATTTTTAATTTATTTAAGACAAATATTAATATTAATAATAAAAATATAAATTTATTTAACCATATTAAAATTAAATTTTTATTTTTTCAATAAGTATGATAATATATTATAAAAATATATAAATAAAATTTTTATTTATAATTACAAAATTTATAAAATAGAATAAAATTAAAAACTCAAAACACAAGTATTTCTAAACGGAGCTTTCATTTTTTATATTGAAGATGAAGTTAGAGACCCATACACTTGGTATCATTTGCGGACACCTGCTAACACGATTCCCTAGCATATTCGTGTAGCATAATTAAAAATTTAAAACATAGGTGTGGCTCTGACCTTACATTAAAGTATTAAGAAAAACTTTAAGGGGAGTTATTAGGAATCAAATTGGAGAACTTTACAAGGAAATTGTAGAGCACATGTTGGAATTTTTTATTTTTGATGAATGAAAAATTTTTATTAATTGAAGTATAAGAAATACTTTTACCTTACATAACAAGGTTTATAACACATGTTGAAATAATATTTAATAAAATGGTGGTGCTTATCTTGAAATCATGAGAAACTGGAGTTTGCAAGAAGGAAATTGAACATTCCCATTAATAACCAATAAAATGGGGGCTAAGTTGTTGACCTTAAATTAAAGCATAGCCCAATTTGAATTTTTGTGCATAAGAAGGGAAGAAACATTACAATTCTCTCGTTTGTTTTCTCTTGGTTTCCCTATCTATTCTTCCAAGAATCAAAGCGAGATTAAATTAATGACTTGCCATTGACCGAACTAGGATTATGAATTTAGTCTAGGTTGTGCAAACTGTTCAAGATACTATCTGAGAGGTGATGGATCAAAAAAATATCTAAATGCGGTTGTGTGAGAAATTGATGGGTTCTGGAGTGAAGTAACTTTCTGATTGATGGAATGTGCAATTTAAGTGTGTCACACCAAAGGGTGAAGGATGCAAATGAAAATTGACTGTATATATCATTGTCATTGATGGGCCTACAGTTATGAAAAGTGTGGTTATCATAAGATATTTTCTGCATCCCTCTAGCAGCCCATGCTTTCTCTATGGAACCTCAAATCTAGCCCATTACAAAACCCTCTCTTTGATGGTTGGATTCAGTCCATTGAATTGTCTGACCCATATTGGGATGTGGTTATGTTCATGCCATTGTTTTGTTAACCTATTGAATTTTGTTTAGTTCGATAATTAAAAATAATTAGTAATTGAACGTCTCACTCCGAGACAAGTGGTATGGACCTGGGTTAGGGTCCTTTATTTCTCGTGGGTTACGTGTTTGGGCCTCACGAAATGTTTTTCTTTATCCTTTAATTAATATTT